TTAATGATTTTTATTATTAGAAATTATTCTCTCTTTTAGTTACCCTTTGGATAAGAGGCCTGTCCATGCAGATAGAGCCAGATTATTTAGGTAAGTTTTATTTAAATACATATTTAATTGATGCATTTGATTAACTGACTTCTCCATTAATCATTGGTGAAGGACCACAAGGTTTGGCTTTTGCCAATATTTACAGGTAGAGTTTGCATTTGAGAGATAATCGTGCAATTTTTCTTTGAAGTGTTATTTTAAATTAATTGTTAATATTTTACTCTTTCTATTAGCCTAACCTTTCTCACTTAATTTTTATGGTTGGGAACTCTGAAAATTGTAATCTTAAAACATTAGGAGACTACCCAGCTTTCAAAGGACTTAGAAGGTCTGTTAAGAAAATGGGATGAAACGGGAAATAAGGGAGAATTGTAGCACAATGTATAGTAATTTTTACATTAGTTAGAAAGGCTGTCATGTCCAAGCCGTTGCTCAGTGCAGGAATCCAAGTTAAGCCATTCCAGCTTGAGCACATACACTTAAGTAGAATGCATCACATCTTAGGTTAACTAGTTTCACTGTTCAGCTACATGTACTTTTTAAACATTAAAACCAAAATTTGCATTCCTATAATTTAATTACATGCTTTCATGTCCCAAAGGGCAGATTTAGGATGCAGACCCCTTGCAGATGCCAGAGTAAGCAGCATAAAAATGCTGGTAATAAAATAAACAAGACTTGCTTTCTAGTCCATGAAGTTTTAATTGTCTTTCCCCGAAACTGTCACGTTTTTTTCTGAAACTTTCTTAAGGTATGGTACCTAGAACTGCACACAGTTCAGTACTTGAGGTGGGGGTCTGACCACAGTACAATAGAATGAAATAATTACTTCCCATGGTTTTGGTATTATATATTTCTGATGTATTCTAAAATTGTGTGTGTATAGTAGTCCTCAATTTATGATAATTGAGCCCAAAAATTCTGTTGCTAAGCGAGACATTTGTTAAGTGAGTTTTGGTTATTTTTACCAGCTTTCTTGCCACAGTTGTTAAGTGAATCACTGCAATTAAGTTAGTAAACATGGTTGTTAAGTGAATCTGGCTTCCCCATTGGCTTTGCTTGTCAGAAGGACACAAAAGGTGATCACATGACCTTAGGACATTGCAACCATCATAAATATGAGCCAGTTGCCAAGTGTCCAAATTTTGATCATGTGACTATGGGTATGCTACAATAGTTGTGTGAAAAATGGTAATAAGTCACTTTTTTTAGTGCCATTGTAACTTCAAACAGTCACTAAATGAATTGTTGTAAGTCGAAGACTACCTGTATTTATTGTATCTTTTACACTGAGCCAAAAGATGAGTGCATGTACATACACAAGCGTTAGGCCTATGCAAAGCATTCAGTAGGGGAACTTCACATGACAGTATGAAAAAGCATCCTACTTTAAAGTAGCTATGTCTTTGGAAAGATTCACTTAGATGCTTCAAAAAATGTCCCATGATTGTGTATATGCATAGATAACACTTCCCTGTATTCCCAACCAAAAATTGAAGCCACTTAGATACACTGATAGCTGGGGAGTCTTTTCTAACAGCTACACAAATCTTCCAAAAGATGTGATTGCTTTAATATCTTGCCTACATTATATAAAATATTTTCAAGAGCTGTAGCATAGACTTCTGAAAATGATTCACTGAATTCACTGGAAAAAATCTATTATATACCACTGAAATGATGAAATTCAGAAATGTTTAATTTTGAGTTTCATAATTATATTGAACATTATTTTAAAATGTTGTTAAGTTTCTCTTTATGTGTTTAGATGGTCCCGAGTGAATGAAAACTTGTTCGCTACTACTGGTTATCCAGGAAAAATGATCAGTCAACTTCTAGTTCATCATTTAGGCCACCCTCAGGTAAATTTCTGACAAATCAAAGATGTAAAATCCATTTTTTTAACATTATTGTACAATTTTGTCCTTAAGCAACTTAGGATTACATGACAAATCAAGTGTGATCCATTGTGGGAAATTTTCTTTTATTTATTTCTCACTTGGACTTCATATGCTTTGAATCTACTTTATCAGAACATCTCAAGAAAAACTGCATTTGTATGGTCAAAATGAAAAAAAATATAGGCTGGAATTCAGAAAGCTACTTTAGACACTCTCTCTATAAAGTCTTAGGCATACTTGTAAGGATTTTTTTTTAACTTTACTGTTTTTAAACATTAGATTCTCATGGTGCAGTGCACAGTGTTCTTGGTAATGGCTTCAGTTTTAAAAAATAATGTATTAAATGCCACGGAAATTGGCAACTTAAAAAGAAAATCCCTTTTAGATTCTGGTTGTAGGGAATAAGCTGAGGATATTTGGAGCATAATAAAATATATTCTAGTTCACCTGGCTTTAATGGGCAAGATGTTCAGTCTAAGGCATATAGTATTACTAGTAATTAACTTTGTGTCATTGTGATTGTGTCTTCCTGAAATAGTGCTGTAAAATTTGTCCTTTTTGGCTTTCCATATGAGTTAAAGTGATTATGAAACAGAGATTTGGAAAGTAAAGCTGAGACTATTGGAAAAGACTTGAGAATAAATTATTCAACCTCAGTCCTCTGCACTCAAAAGGAACTCAAGGATTAAGAGAATTAAAGTCATGCCTATATATTTTGCATCTTGTATTGCATCTTATACATTTTGCGCATTGCACAAATTTAATTCATGTCCAGTGGATTAGATTTCCAGAAAGGACTAATGGGAACCAGTTAAAAGAATCATTTAAGGTAGTACCTTATAAGAGAGTTTGAATTTCATGAAATTCTTTCTGGTAGAATGATTATTAGAAGCTATAAAAATAGCATTGTGCTTATACTTCGGTTTAATGTGTTATGTGCTCCTGGCCACTTTCCTTCGTGACCAGAGGCAAGCTTGCCTGACCAATAACCAGCCAAGACACAGTGAAGGCCTTTTGTTTCATTTATTGCAATAAGCGGGGAGAGAAGCTATCAAAGCTTGGTTCTCTCCAAAGTTTTAACCCAAAATATCCTCCTTTATACAGCCCTTGTCCCGGCCGCCACATCCCTCCTCTTTCCCCATTGGCTGAGGTACTATGAGGTTACACTCTTTCCGACCGCCTCCTACATATTTCCTGCTACATACTAAATCATATTCACATATACAATTATAATAAGAAAAATTAGACATTTAAATGGTTATTTTAAACTCTGTAGATGTTTATGTCCCCATTTTAAACAATAAGTTCTTTTCCTGCTTTTCAATTCAGTGTGCCTTTCCTCTTATCTTATTCAGCTTATTTTCCTATTCTCCAATTCAACCTGTCTTTCCTGGCTAGCCATTTCCTTTTACAGCTATATATTTTTTATGGCTTCTCTTCTTCCTTTCTTAGACCCAGCTATTTTTGCCTATATGTTTATCTTACTTCCTTTATGTTAACCTTTCCTCTTTCCCACCATAGCTTTTCTACTCAGAAATTTCCACTGCAGCAAATTCAATTATAAATTTCTCTTTCAATATTAAATTTTGAAGACCTTTCTTTTACTTCTATCAAATGTAAATAATATAATAGAACTTCTAGAGATCTCAGCGTAGCAATACATTGATTTAGCAACAGACATTTCTGTCTGCCTCCTGATTTTCCAAGTTCTAAGGCTAAAAGAGACAGCATATAATAAGTGCATTTCTTAGATATCCATGATGTATTATGACTGATTTTGCTGATTTTCATATTTACCAGAGAAAACGAGCAGAAATATTTAGTCACCAAGAGAGCAAAACGTTTACAAGCATCATCTGTTAGTTCTTAATGTTTAACTATCAGAGGAAACTATATTTGGAACGTGATGTAAAATGGATAGACTATGATAAAGGGAAATTTAGGTATTATTGTGGAAAAACAGTAAAACAACTAAATGAAAGTGCTGGCTTCTATATCCAGTGTCAGATCTTTAAAAAAGATTGGGAGGACCATCTTGATTTATTTTGGACTTTTCCCTCATGTGCTAACAGTAGATTATTATTTTTTTACTTGTATAGCTTATTTTTTTGCTAAATCATTATTTTTCAGCTTCTAGTTTCAAATTTAGAAGCAAGCTGCCTTGGGATTTAGAAATTCTGAAGTTATATCCAATTCCAGTGATAATTGCTGGGTTACAGCCCAACAGCTAAAGAGTATTTTGAAATTTCTTTTGAAGTTGTCTTACTGTATGCTAGATCTTAAATAGAAATAATAAATAAACTAATCTTTTTTTTCTCTCTACAGCCTATCCTTATTGGTTCTGCACCCTTGGGATCTGGTTTAACCTGGCACAGGACTCTTCCACTATGTGCCATGGGAGGAGATCATAAAGTATATTTTTGGGTGACTGAAATGTAAAAAACTATATCTACTCTATAGTGGTTTAAAGTATCAGATAATGATTAAGAGAGGGGAGAGTTGAAGTAATATAGTTGTCTTATTTTATACTTTTTTTTTTACAGAAACATTA